AAGTTATATATAGAAATTCAATCAGTCAAAATGAATAATAAAAATAGCCTAGCCTTTGTTGGGATTGGATGCGATTGAATTGCTTCTCTCAAACCAGAAGTCAAGTTCTTAAATTACTTATTATAAACAAACTTTAAATTTAATTTCTCGCTATTAAATATGTTTTTGAAGACCCACAATTTATTTGCTACAAAATATTTTAATTAAAATAACAAAGAATGCCGTAAGATGCCTGATATGGCGTACGTGACTTTCGAAGTGCATCGCGCGTTATCAAGTCACGAGTACATAACAAAAGGGCGGGTAATACTACTTCGCCATGTTAAATGCACTTTACTTTTATAAAGACCTAATCATTTTATATTAATTTTCAAGAATTCACAAAAATATTAAATATTTGATTTAAATTTTTATATTATTTTTTGTAGTTCTTCTGATATATGGTAACTGCATGAGTCCATACTCATATTAGGTTATCAGTTTTTGTGCAGAATGTTTTAATATGGGATTATCACAATATCAATGTGTATATAAGATCCAATAAATGCACTTTTCACATTTTACGGATATTAAAGTTATTAATTATTTATATATCATTGTTGTATCTCCTCAAAGATCGTTCCGACTTTGATACATATATCAATAGAAACAATAAGGAATCTCAAGATTGATCCGATCAAAAAGGACATAAAAAATAGAGCCCTGAAATTATTTGCGAAAACTGACAGACTTACCATGACCGCATTATCAAATCTCAGAATGGTTACAGGCTCCTCGGGGAGGTATGCAGATCTGAGGTCAATTATTGCTTAGTCTGATGAAGTGATAAACAATAATCCAGTCAAGGCGTAAAGAGAGGTTTTAAAATTACCTCGAGTTAAGAAAGTGCACTGGCTCAAATAGCCTCAACATTATAAGATATTCATCTCTTTATCCAAAAACAATGTCTATATACTACTTTTAATTGGCTTAAACCCTAATGAGACTATAACTTTTAGTGAATATATTAATTTTTTTTAATTATTCTTTAATCCTTACATAATATTATCGCTTTTGTAGCCAGTCTAGTGCCATTTAATGGGGTGGCGATTATTAGATAATCTCCACAACAAAAACACTGCGAAAAATACATATACTAATATTATATATTACAATTCCCATGGTACAATCCTTACTGTGCTACCTTTCGTGAGACGCCAAAAATTCCACCAAGCAAATAGCAATTTCGAACTAATATTATTTAATAGGTGTTATTAAGAAAAAATTAGAATAAATCATAGCAATTATGGATTATAGTGGTATGGATGCAAAAGAGTTTATAAGAATTGAAAAAAACCCGTATAAAAATATAAAAACCTTGTCACCATCATGAGTTGGAGTAAAATATCGTGGAGTGCAGAGCTTCGCATGTATATTGGATAAATTGAATAGACAAATTGAATAGACATTCGTATTCAGTATATTACGTGATTATACCCTGACCTTAATTAAATTAGATCAGTTTTTAAGGTCCTTGACTAAACTACTTAAGACGGGATTTTGTCAGCCGGTCTATTTAATCAACTCTCTTAGATCCAACGAGTTTATTGCGTTATCACTGCTTAATATACCACCTTAACTGTTTACTTGTGAATTAATTTTAAGGCTTTACTAAAGCAGAGAAAGTTTTTTATCTTATTGCTATATACCTCTGTGAAAAAGTACCAAATATGTTTACCTAAGAAGTTTGCTCTGCTTCTAGTTAGAGCTGAGTAGCAGCAAAATATTCCATTGTATTCCACTGTTTCTTTGTACCTTTCATCTGCACAATTTTACCATATTCATAGGAGAAAACTTTCAACTTAAGAGCGTAGATAGATATCCATAAGTCACCGTTTCAGAGATATCCTCTCTTAGTAAGCTAAGTATATCGTTTTATTTTTTTCTATACATATTCTAACTAAGCTAGTACGATCAAGTTTATTGTTTTTAGTCTAAAACAAACTGATTGACTTGACTTATTGCTAGGAGTCCTTTATCTTTATCCTTTTTCTGATATCCTTTATTTGTATTACCATAACAAATAATAATGAAATTTCTAAGAGGCTAAATCGGCTATATATTAAAATGTTTTTAAGAACGTTCCATTCCCGTTCACCAATATCGTTGTGTGATCGTTGTCAGTAATCGCAAAATTAAAGAAACTAACTTAAGTTAGATACAGTAACTTTGATTTCGTACTATATATAGGTCTAGATCTTAAAATTGTAGTTTATATACTAAAAGAAAAAGAACATGTAAAATTTCTGTTCCTGTGTTCACTAGCTTCAGATTTTAGACGGCGATTCATAAAGTTTACTTTAATTTCCATGTTAATTCAAGATTTTTTACATTCTCATCCATTCTTTGATTCATTCTCATTTATAGGAATCTTAAGATCAAAGTCCAAATTAATGGAATTCTTGTTCATATAGAAGTTGACAAAATTTTAAATAATTTGTGAAATAATTAACTTATCTACGAAATAATCTGAAAAGACGAGAAACCGCATTACTCATTTTATATAAATGTTATATATATACATATATGTACATACTCGTATTCATATGGAATATTCAAAGTCTATTAAAACGTCTCATAGATGTCATTACTATATTAACTTAAAGTTGAAAACTAATTAAAATAAAAATTTTAATTTTCAGTAAATAAAGAAACCTACAACGTATTTCTTAAATATTGTCTATATACTATAAATAATACATATTATACATATAGTCTATGTATTGATATTATTCATCAGAGAGGTGACTATTATTTTAAATACATATGTATAGATGTGGGTACATATAAGTGTACATAAAAACAGCAAAAAGTTTTCCATACTTATATATTAAAATGATGGGGTTTTCATAAATATATTTATATATATATATATGTTATTAACAATTATATCGAGTCTTCCCGTGACAAATTTAATTGGACGTACTTTAAAGTGAAAAACTTTTGATTCTTTCCAGTAATGACAAAATCATTTCACAATTAAAAAGTGTATAATATTTATTTGAAAATATGTTTGTTGGTAATTTGTTTATTCCAATCACGCATTGATATTCTAAATCTGAAATCCAGGGACCAAAGGCTCATCACGTTCCGGTGAATGTTTATGCATTCGTTGACTGATCGCAATCGCAGCCATTAATGTCTAAATCTAGATGATGTGCTAAAACTATTATTAAATTTTATTTTGTTTTTCAAAATAGTAATCGTCTATATTGAATTCCTGCCCAATAATTGCTCAACACTTTGTGCGGTTGTCAAGTAATTTTTTGTTCAATTTACACTTAAAAGAGATTACGATTATCATACGTGCATACATACGCATACATACATACACAATACCAAGTGCAAGTTCCATCGAAAGCGTTCTTATCATATACATTAATGTGCCTTTTTTATTACTTTTAATTCTCCGACTTTTCATGTTTAATATGATAATTCCAATTTTAAGTATTCTGATTTGAATAATTTGAACTGTGAGTAATATTTTCACATTTCAATAATTTTTAAATATTACTTAAACTCCCAATAGGGCATTTGTACATACTTATTTCTTTCCCACCCTATCTAGAACTACCATCTTCTTTCTTGTTAGATTTTTACTGCTTGGTGAATCAATGCTTCTAATTTTTCCCGATCTGTTGTCACGGTTCACCAATTTTATTCACTTATCTCATGAAGGTCACTTATATCATTCTCGATGAATTTTTTCCTCGGGCTGCCGGTCCAAATGCTTCTTTTACTGCTTACTTATAGCGCAAGCTTCTCAAATTCTGAGATTTAATGTATCACGACACATTCATTGCATTTGGGCCGTATAGTTTTCGAGGAAGATGAGAGTATAAGACGATCTCTTCTCTTAGGACAATTTTAAGCCTTCTTAAAATATTTTTGATAATTTTATATTGGATATTGTCTATTTTTAATATATAAATGTTAAAATAATGTTTTCATGTGAAATTTGAGTTTTAAATTACTCTCCGGATGTTTCCACGGATGGGAAACGTGAAAAAATTCGGCTCGTATTCAATCGCACATCCAAGTATTCATAAACAAATGCTTAAGAAGAATAATGAAAAAATATTCGCCGGAGCACATATCCAACACTGATCTCTGGAAACGCACAGAACAATTACAAGCTGCCACTGAAATCAACAGAAAAAAATGGAAGTGGATTGGTCACACGCTCAGGAAAACTGCATCCATAACAAAGCAAGCCCGACACTGGAATCCACAAGGTAGTCGCCGGCTTGGAGCTCCAGCTAAGCCATGGCGAAGAACCGTGGATCAGTAGCTTAAAGAGACGCACAGTACTACTGGATGCCTATTACGAGAGAAGCAGGGAACAGAATGAGATTTAGAGGAAATGTTGAGGCACTATGTTCCACTAGAAGAGAAGGACAGCAGTTAGTAAGTAAGTGTACTACACTGCCCAGCGGCACCATTATGCCAGCGCTGAAAAAGTAAGCGAGGAGGTAATAGCTCTTCGTTTTTATTTTTCTTTGTTTTCGACATTTGTGTTCGACATAGGCAATTTCGGGGTTGAAATTATAAAAGAATGAAGAAGAAAAGCATGAGTTAAGAATTTCTTGTTTTGCCTACATTGTATACATTTAGTCTGCTTTTGATTTTAGTGAAGTGCGAACAGTGAACAATTTTTAATTTTTAAAATCAAATAAAAAACAAAAATATAATTAAAATATAATTTGTAATTTCACATAAACTCACTGTAAGTATATGCAAAATTAAGTAAATATATTTAAAATGATAATTGTAATTTTTGTTTTGTATTATGTAGAAGCTTCTGCGTCAAGAACGATTAATTGACCAATGTGCTGCGAATGCAGTCATTCTAAAACAAGGGGTAATCAGCTGTAGTCATGTAGTCAGCTGTTTCAATTGGAAAATTTTACAATTCAAACTGAGGAGGATTTAATTCAATTTAATGAAGAAATCACTGCCGTTGAAGTAGTTGTAAGTTAAATTATATATGTTTCTTACTTTCAATTTCAACTTATTAATATATTCACATGTAACAATTTTACTAATTCATACATTTCTTTTCATCTATTACGTTATTTATAGACTGCATCAATGAGACGCGTTATTAAAAAACAATCAATTACGCGAAAAATTTCCTGGAATTTTGGAGAATGGTTCCCAAGGCAAGAAGTTCTTAAGAGCATTAGAGAATGTGACAGCAGCACTTTTTGGTATGGTATATTGTACATAATTAACTTTAGCGTATACAATAACATACTTTTGTATTTACAGATGCTTTAAGTACAGATGGTAAGCCGGAACAAGTGATCGAGTCGAGTCTGGAAATCTCTTCAAGGTGTTAGTAACAATTTCCAGAAAAATATTCATCTATATAAGTATGTTATATTTTTTTATGTAAATATTAATATTTTAATTGTATAAAACATAAATATAAAATATAATTTATCCAAAAAAATTTATAGTATTTTATTTAAAAATCAATAGCATAGGTAAAATTGAAAATTTAAGCGAACATATCAGCGCTGATATGTTGCATTACAAATTCGAAAAAGTAAGCTAACATGTCAGCGCTGATATGTTGCATTACAAATTCGAAAAAGTAAGCGAACATGTCAGCGCTGATATGTTGCATTACAAATTCGAAAAGGTAAGCGAGCATGTCAGCGCTGAAATGTTGCATTACAAATTTGAAAAGGTAATCGAACGATTCAGCGCTTGCCCGCAATGACATGCACGTGTTAAAGTAATTAGGAGTTTCATTTGAATAATCAGCGCTAGGCATTACCATTCAGCGCTGAGGGAATCGATTCCCTCAGCGCTGAAAGTCCCGCTGGGTGTTCACATGCCTAGGTATATTTGTTTGGTGATTCAGAAACGCAGCAATTATTTTCTTATTTAAAAATTATTTTCATCACATATATTACATGAGATTATTTTCATATGAGAAGCAATGAGACAATTTCGTATTGGGTTGTTGCCATAAGTATGTGTGTCAACAAAGAAAAAAGTATTAAAACATCAGACTTCAGTCTAAAAAAAGAGACGTTGGCAGTTGCCAACGTAGTTATTACGTTGATTTTATGACGAACTACGAACTGAAAGTCCAAAACTCCAAATTTATCACAAAAAATTGCAAGCAAATATACACACACAAGTCTCACATATATATGCTTTCATGCTTACACACAATTTTACATATAGAAAATATGTTTACAATTTAAGATAAGTGCAAGCGAAGAGACTGCAAAGAGAGTTTACACATGCAAAGCTACTGGACGATAACGAAATGAAGTGAGCAAAAAATGTGTGATCGCTCGCAAGAGAGAAGTGCGCTGCAAACGAGACGGGGAACAAGTTTTTATAAAATATCTGTGCTGAGCAAGCAAAGCAATCAGAAACATTTTGTCTGCGTTGAAGAGTAGTTCTATGCCGCAATAGAATTAATTCAGTAAATGTAAATCTTGTTAAAAGAAAAGAAACTTAAGGAAAAAATTCAAAAGAATTAAAGTGAAAAAATAAATTAAAATTATTTGTGCAAATTTATAAAAAATTAAGTGCAAATTGACTATTTTTTAAATATTAAAAAAAATACATTTTTATTAAATTACAAAAAAATAAAATAAATTCATATATAAAAATGGCAAGTGCAGAAGCTAAGCAAAATGAAAAACCAACTGAAAATGGCAGCGCCGTTGCTGAACAGGTTAAGGATACACAAAACCTTTTACCACATTTGGAATCATTAGAACGCATCATTAAATTGCCAGTAGTTGGCGCAGCTTGGGATAAAAGCCAAGACGTTTATGGCAAAGTAAAAGGTGAGTTCAATAACGCCATTTTATGTTGAATTTGCTTTAAAATATTTTTTGGTTTTATAAAAAATATTTTAAAAATAAATGTAATTATGTTATAAAAAACAAAAAACAGTTAAATTTTGATTTATAATGCAATTATAAAATGGGGCACACGAAGTTTTAGCACAGTTATTAGTTGTTTCTATGCCGCATTTCACAAGTATAACAATTTGCATATTTGGCTTTTGTTTTTGTTTTTGTTTTGTATGCCGAACATACATTCTGTATGTGCCGCCATTTGGAGAGACCACTACAAGGCAAAGGCAAACATTGCAGTATAATAGTTCAACAGTTAAATTCTAACTGGAATTGTAATTGTCATAATATTTGTTCTTGTACACCTCACTTGAGAATGTTTGTGGCAATTTATGTACAAATTTATAACAATTGAGCTCAATTAAGTTCAATTATGCATTAAATTGCGAAACTCTATTGAAATTGTATTGAAATTGAATTAAGCTGATGTTTGCTGTTTGTTGAATTTCTTTTTCATTTTTATTTTTCATTTTACAATTTGCATTTATATATTTTTAACTGCATAACAATAGTATTGAGTTTCCCTTCGAGTTTATGTGTGAGCGGGTTTCAAAGTTCAAGAATTTCACTTATAAATAAATTAAAATTACGTTGTTAGTTATTTCTATTTATTCATTTTGTTTTTTTTTTATTTTTTTTATTTTTTTGTTTTTTTGTTTTTGTGTTAACTGATAAATAATGGGTGTGTCATGCAATGAATAAATGTGTTATTTGTTGTGAATATTGAAAGTGAATGGCCGGCAAAGATCTTGACGATAATTGCTAGATGCTTCTGTATGTAGATTTTCTATGTAGGTTTTTTTTGTTGTTTTCCAATTAGAACTTCTCAACTGGCATAATTTGTGCAAGGTTTTTTCCCAGAGGTTTCGAGATTTCTTCTTATAATACACAATACAAATAATGGGAAAAATATTTTTTTCTATTTGATTTATTTATCTTTAAGTGAATTTTAAAATTAATTATAGGTTATTAAAATATTAATATAAAATTGCATTCTAGCATTAAAAATAATTTTTATTTTGCTAAAATATAGTATAATAAACATACTACAATATATAATTAGAAATTGTTTAATTTTTTTTTTGTTGTTGTTGAGAGATGCCAATTTAAATTGTTTTTAATGCATTTAAATAAAGATGTTTTTGCAGAAGCGAATATTAGTCTAAAAGCTTTTAAAAGTACATTTTGCTAAAAATATTCATAATTTAAGTACATAAAATTTATGGTGGAAAATCACTTAGTAGATGCCACGTGTCTAAAAAGAATCTTGTAGATTAACAAAAATTTTGACCAACATTAGGGTTTTGATGAGTTTGAATGGTCTGATGATTTTGAATAATATTATTATATCTCTAAGTACTTCTAAAAAATTCTAAAAACAAAATAGATCATCATAGATTTTGACCAACATCAAGGTTTTGATGAGTTTGAATGATCTTTTAAATAATATTATTATATCTCTAAGTACTTCCAAAAAATTCTAAAAACAGAAACAAAAAAAGGTTGCTCTTTAAACGTTTTTATATCTAAAAGTAATTCTAAAAACTTAAAAAAATATAATGAAAAAAAATTGTTGTTGCTTCAGTAGTTCAGAAGTTTTTAAAAAAATAAGATTTTTATTTTTTGTTATAAAATATTAATATTTCGTAAGAACATTGTTTATTAAAAATTCTACATTCGTTTTTTTTTTATTTTCTTGATTACATTTTAATAGGATTTAATTAGAGCTGGTCAAGAAAATGTTGGCATATCACCTGTAATTGTTATTTATTCTTCTTATTTTTAATATTAATAATTTATTATAATTTATATATTGCAAAAGCTATATTAAAACCCAACAATTAGTTTAAATTCACTGATTAACAGAAAACCCCATGAATTAGTGATTAACATAAATTTATTTAGCGATAATATATATATTTTTTATATTATTTAAATATAATTTTCAAGGTCATCTTATGACATGTTTTTGTATTTGAAATAACATGAAAATATAAGTTCATTGACCTTAATTTATATTCTATTTTATTATATTTGAAACTGTGATATTATAACAGTTAACATTTTTACTAGAACAGTTTCAGTTATATTATATTAGTTTTGGACTGTATTTAAATAATGATAGAATTGAAAGCAAAGCGTGAATCTAGTTTGTTTTAATACAAATAAAAAAAAAAAGAAAAAATACAGGGTCGTATTAGGTATAGCATGATAGGAAACGAAATGTTATAAAACTTAGTGCAGGATCTGTACATAAGAGACAGCATTTATGTACAGGATCGATCCTTCTCAAACCACCTACTGGCATTTGAGTTTGGATAAATAAATAAATAGATTTAATTAAAATAAAGTCTAAAGCCTATAAACTTTAGTTAGGATATTGTTTTAAAAACGATTGAAAAATTAAGAAAAAAATTAAAAAATTACGGCAAAAATTAAATAATTAATAAAGTTTAAATTTCAGATTAAAAAAATATTGATTGATTTATAGTTTATTTATTTTTTTTTAAACATATTGGAACTTAGTTATATGAATTTATTCAAATTTAATTTTCTTAATTATTATCAACAAATTAAAAATAAAATTTTAGTAATAATAAAAAAAAATTTAATATGAACTAATTTGTTTTTGCTGGATGCCTATTATTTTTCATAAATGAAATATTGTTTATATGTTCCATTTTTAATAAATCTACATAGGTACAGTAAAAATTTTGTTGGGTGGACACTTAACGTTAGCTAACTTTTATCTATTGAAGACGGCTATCTCGTCAAGAGGCATTAAATTTCTTGCAAAAATAATAATTTGCTCTCGAAAAGTTGTCTATTTATGATGAGTTCCCGGCTAAAAGGGATTAGGGACCAAAGAGTAGTGTCTGTTAGGTATGTGTTCGTTTACGTAAAGTATTTGTTCACTAGGGTTGTTCATTCAATATGAGTGCTTGCTCAACAGAAATATTTGTGCAATAGAAGTTCGTTCAATAGAGGTTTTCATTTAATAGTGATGTTTTTTAATAGGGATATTTAATCAATAGGATTGCACGAACATCTATAGTTCGTTTATTAAATATGCTTATTTAATGTAAGTGTTCATTTAATAGGAGTATTGGGCTTTTTCAACAGAAGTGTCCATTCTTCTTGTTGTAGTAAAACTTGGACCTGCTCTCATGACTTTATTTTAATAGATAAATGGGATTTCGTTGTCTGTAAAGAGACGTAGACGTGTCCAAACGCTTTTGGATTTAGAATGTTGGGGTTGTTTTTTTTCTGTTTTTGTTTTTGTATCTCGAGCAGATCTATATTCCGGAAAAGATGAATTAAATCAAAACATACATGGGTAAGGATATGAATTAGTTAGAAGTAAGTGAGCAATGTCTAACACGCGTCTGTAGATACAGTAGTTGATGACTCTCTCTGTATTCTAACTGAATGGAATATAGTACCTAGTGATGTGATTTAACTATGGTTATGCATTTACTTAACTGAGTGAACGGATTATGATGTTACACATGATTAAGTTACAATCGGTAGCTACTATATTCCATATAATTGGCCTACAGCGACAGTAGTCAGATACTATAGCTAGTGATTGTAGTGTGATCGTGTGTAGTATTCATCATCACATTTCAACAAGTTTGTAGTTTTGTTAATAACGTACTTTGTGTGCTATATTTAGAATCTTCTATCACATCTAATAGATCTACGTGCAATATTACCACAATAAGTAAAAACAATAACAATAATAAGTAATAATAATTAAATGTAAAAATATACTTTAATGAAAAATACAAAATATTACATTAGCAATAAATTACAGTTTACAAAACATCTGTAAAAAATAATTAAATTAACTATACTTTTTGTTGTTGTTATTATTGTATACGTATTAACAAACACTTTGTATATAATTTACATCTGTTTTGAATATTTATAATATTTTTCTTATAAAAAAATTAATTCATATTATGACTAACAAAGCGATTAAGAATTTAATTATCACATTCAATGAATAAACGACGATGGGGAAGCGTTCTCAGAAACTTACCCGTTTAAATGCAAATACCCGTACTCGTACTTCTCGTACTCGTACACAGTCCAAGTTCAGTGCTGAAGAGGAGAATGAAAAGTAAATATTTTAAATTATATATTTTATAAGTTTTGAAATGTACAAAGTCCAAACTTCATTAAAAATTGCCAATACGATTTGCATAAAACTTCGATAATTTTAAAAAAATTACGACTTTGCATACCGAAATACATAGATTAAGATGGGTTTGGTTTGGCTTGGCTTGGCTTAATGAGGTGCGCTTCGCAAATTCATTGGAAATTTTTTTTTCGACTTCTTTGAATTTCGTATTTGTTTATAAAAGTGTTAGACTTTGTGTTATTGACTTAATTTTATTTATTTTAATTTTTAATTTTAGTTCTTGAGAATAAAGAAAACTACAAGTATGAAAAAAAAATTTGTCTTGAATAATTATTTTAAATTTTCTGGGTTCAAGTTTGTTTCTCAAGTATTCTTATCGGTTCAAGTGGAATTTGTACTCAAGTGGAAGAAAGCACGACTTTAAGAAATTCTCGATGCTTATGAATATTGTTTACTTAATATTTAGGAATAAAGAATTAAAAAACGATTTTTTTGCCTTTTTTTTATTATATTTTTTCTAACAAAGAAAGCGATTTTAAACCAACATTAAAAACCAGAGTAATATCTGCTCTGTTCAGATATATTATATATTAATATATCAAAAATATATTATATTTAAAAAAAATATGTATATTTAATATATTTTTTTATATAAAAATTTCTAATTCGAACAGTTTAATTTAATATAGTTTTGCGATAGATGGCGCATCTATTTATTTGTTGATCGCTTCAATGTAAAACTTTCCAAGTTTAAAATGCAATATCCCAAAAACTAAGCGAAACTCATGTATTATATATAGAGGAAACAGTTGTTCAGAATAGCTGACTTTACTTAAATCTGTAATTTAACCGGAAAACCGAAACCGAACCATTGAAGTGTGTATGTTGACAAGTAGTGGAATTTATATATAATATATGACTAGGTATATTTTACTTAGAAAACTACAAATACGATCGGAAATGTCATAATATACTTATAGAAAATATAGTTTTAAAATGAGAAAAATATAATAAAATTATAGAATAGAACATTATAGAAAAGATATAGAATATAATATTTAAAAGATGGTAGAGCAGCATTTTTAACTCTAGTGTCAAGAACTTTAAATTTTTATATTTATATTCAAATATTAACTAAACTCTAAAATTAAATAAAAATAAAATACAACATCAAAATAAATATAATAATAATAAAAAAATCATTTATAAAAATATATAAACATTTTCATGACATTATCGAAGACCACGTTTTCATTCTATTCCCACTCGAATCGATAGATAAATTCGTATCTATTATATTTTGTACTAAGTAGTTTGATTGTTAAAGTAGCTACAAATTTTATTCTATTTTATTATAAATAAAATAAAATAAATAATATTTTTGCAAACATTTTAATCACAATCTCTTAACATTTTTTTTTGCTTTTCCTTGACATACAAATATATTGAAATACAAGCTTATCGCTGCTGCTCCTTCGTTCCCTCCTCCAGCCACATTTGTTCATTTATCTCGAATTGCAAGTACAATAATTGTTATTTATAACATTTTATATAAATTTTACTGCAAATAAAGTCATCAAATGATTAATGCAAAATATCGTACGAGCTTAATTACAGAGCCGGCCGGCTGCGACGTAGCGCTATGTGCCAACAATAAACGAATAAAAACAATCACCAAAACAATTTTAGAGATAATAACAGCGTGTATTTTTCCAGAACTTCTATGTACTACCGTACAAAAGTCAAGTGAGAACTCGTCATTCGACAATAAAATCGAAACTATTACATGCGGAATAGTTTGGCCATAGACGTAGTAGTCACATCTTTTTTAGAGGAATGGTAAATTCTCTTTTAGCTTGGGTATGTTCACAGAGGTTTGAGCTGTGTTTACATTTGGATGGGTCTATGGAGATATCATTTCATCTGTGGCTGATAGTGAAGGAGACTTTTAGTCGTATTTTTTTTTTTTCTGACTTCAGCTTTGATTGTGGTTAGAAGAAGAAAACTAGACTGGCTATTCTCGTATAATATTAGAAAACCCTCAATATTACTCTGCTTAAAGCTCCTATTCTCGTCTAATAATCTAATCGCTTTTTTTGTGACTATCCGGCTAGGAGGCAAATACTTCTATTCTCGTCTTATATAAGGCAATCCTAAACAGAGAGAGCATGCATTCTAATCTATTTCCTAATTATTTACTAACCTGATCTGTTAGATTAGGTTTAGTTACCACAAAAGATTTTTATGGAATACTGGACCCGGAAACTTCTTTCCACGTTTGATATTATAAAATCTTCAACAAAATAAATCCTACACCTTATTTTTAAGACAAAATGTCTTTTGTTACTATAGATAACTAGGCCGTAAGGTTCTCTTCCAGTCTGATATTAGGAAATCCTCAATGAGAAACATTCTAGCCTGTTTTAATATTAAAAAATCCTTGATCTGTTTTTAAGAAATGCTCGATTAAAGAAATTTTCTCTGTTTAAGTTGTAAGAACAAACGATTACTAGACCCAAAATCCCAATCTTCGCCTGATATAAAGAAATCTTCAAATAAATATATTTCGATCTTCATTTTTAAATCTGCATGTTTTTTGCTTGGTTGGGGTCAGTTGTCAGTACTAAAGACTGCTATTTGTTTAGTGGCAGTTGTTTTATTCCACAAAAGATGTTTATGGAATACTGGGTCGGAAATTTCTAGTTTCATCTGATATTAGAAAATCCTCAACGCTAGACTTTATAATCTATATTGTTAAAGCTGTATGTTTGTTGTTCGGTTGGGGTCTCCTTTCGTAAAAAAACATTACTATAGATTGCTGGGCTGAGTCTTATTATTAAGAGAGGCATTCTGGCTTTCACATGTTGGATTTACTACGTTCAGAGTGTTTCATTCTACTGAGAGCCCAGAACCTTGACATGTTATCCTATCTACTATTGTATGGTAGTGACGTTAGTGTGTGAATAGTGACACTATATGCATCTCATTATTTGAGATACTACCTAAGAAATAATGAATGCACCTAAATTATTTGTTTGCAGTGCTGCACTGATATAAGTGCTATAGATACTATGGTATATGGTATATAAAACGTTCTAGAGTTTTGGTTTGGTTTGGTTTGATAAGAGCGAAGGCAGATTGACTTTTTGTTGTTCAGTTTAATGTGCCACTTTTTATGAATTTGTTTTTGTAAACTTCATTGTTTGGTGCTGATTTGTTAATTTTTTATATAAAAAAAACCGTTGAAGTAATAAATTCGCGCTCTGTAAACTAAACTGATTTGATTTCATGTTTTTCAGTCAGTTATCAATTGAACTGCAAATGACTGATTAGATTTAATTACGTTGAATTGTACTTATGTTTCACTGGCTCTATATTCTCTGGCTTCATTTAATTGATTGGGGTGGGGTTTCGACAAAGCAAAGCAGGGGAATTTAATTTCACTGAAATTTGTTGTTGACCCATTTAAAGTTTAAAAATAAAAGTTTTAAGTGTCTGATATTATATACAATAAATTAAATAAGCTTTTTAAAATATACATTTGTTGAGTTGATAATGATATAATAAAATTGTTGTATAAATAATGATTAATTCGTTCAACGTACTAGAACTATATATATATGTTCAGGAGGGGAAAGAAAAAATGTACTTAAGGGTAAATTAAATTTTTATGGTTTTTCCATATATTCAATTTTGCTTGGAAACTTCCACAGCTGAAATTAGCAAGTATACTTCATGAAGGACGACAGAGGGTTTTGCGGGTGTCAGGAAATGTATTTAACGGTTGTTTAAATTTCTTTAAACTAAAAATAATTTAGAAACTTGAATCAAAGTACATTATCATATATATTATGAATGGGTATCATAATAGATCTTTCAAATCGCTGTATATGGTAGTAATATATTAATTTATTATGTTCCACCGATCATGATCTATTCATATTTAGATAAAGTTTCTAATCAAGATGTAACGAATGTTATATTTAACCAAAGCATTGTTCTGTCATTATAATCGAAGTGAACCAGAGACGTAAGATCAAACACTTTTTGAAGTTTTCCTACTGCAAAGGTAAAGTTATACAACTGGTCATATAAAAGAAAGTACAGCTATACTGCGTCAGTATGGGCTCCACAGCTCTGCAAGAAACTCTTAATTAAATATTTAGTCATGCTATAACGCAGCTCTGTGCATTTTAACTGACTACCATCGCATGTCACTAGTTAATCATCTTTATGTGTTATCTAAACTGTTCCTAGTAAAAAAGAAGTGCCAGCTATTGTCCGAACAGTTAGTGTGTCACACAATCTAGTCAGTAAATCCTAACTTCCATGTTGTTATAACCTATCCTATCAATCTTTTTATTTCATTCAGCGTACAGACAAACTAGATTTATTTATTGACCATTCATATGTTATACGATATTTTTATCTAAATGTTAAAAGTATGCTTACAAACTATTAGATTATTTTATTAATAAGTGTATATATTCAATTATGCTATATAAATATTTAATTTTTGTTATAATTTATATTATTTAATAATAATTAAAATTATTTATTTCTTGCAGGGAAAAATCGAGTTTTCAACTGGGCTTTGAGCGCCGCTGAAGATTGCGTTACTCGTGCCGTGACAACAGCTGCACCAATTGTCTCAAAACTTGATCGTCCTATTCAATACATGGATCAAACTCTCGTTAAAGGCATTGATAAATTGGAAGTTAAGGCTCCAATTATCAAGGACACACCACAAGAGATCTACAATCAAGCCAAGAGCAAAGTGATCGATGTTGTCCAGCCACACATTGATCGTGTGGTCAAATTCAAAGCGGCAGGACAACAGAAGGCAGCTTCTCTTAAGGAGTTGGCTTGGCAAAAGGCTAATGAAGTTTTGGCTACACAATATGGTAGCTTGGCTGTAACTGGTGTTGATACTACAACAGCCTTAGCTGAACGTTTACTGGAATACTATTTCCCAAAGAGTGAATCCGATGTGGAGGAAGATAATGGTAAATATCATAATTAAAATGATTAAGCAAATTAATGAAATAGAAAAATTCAGTTTACTTAAGCGAATTAAATAAGAATGTAATCAGACCCTTACAATCTAGTTTAATCAGTTATTAGATTTCTTTGAAGTGCTAAGTCAGGTTAATCGTAGAAAATTGTAGTAATATTAATATTAGGAAATTTTGGCGTACTTTGCGCTCTATCACGGGTTCGGTATTATCAAATGATAGTAGCAGTTCATTTGCTAGAGCACGTTCCTTGTACGACAACCAACCAACTCCCCACTTTCTCTAAATTAATTACTAAACGAGTAGAAAAGCCTTTAGTAGATCTAGCCGTACGAAGTCTATTTTTATTTCGTTTTGTCATTTCAATTCCAATAAAGCAAGTAATCTGTACTTTTCCCCAGTTGATAAGATAAAATTCATAAGCCCATAACAAATTGAAAATGATTACAATTTTTTGTTCTATTTGACTTTTTATAAGTCGTAATAAAATGCGTCATAAATACATTATATGCCAAAATATTTATGAAATTCGTACTCTGTAGACTCTTAATTAGTTTTGTGGAATTTACGATAAATATTTCGCTTAAATGCCGTAGACAGTCATAAATTTTTTTCTAGATATTTTCCATCAGTCATAATCTCCTGGCGTCTTTTCGAAATTAATTTTATCTTTTTAAATTACTTTTTTAATAATCGTTTTTTAATTAATAATAAATCATTAATGTTTTATTCTCAGATAATAAGCAAATAAATGTCACAAATGGCAACCTAGCAGAAAATGATAGTAAGTTTCTATGATTTTGTTTAAGTCTCTGTACAGCTCACTTTGCATGTGACTAATATTGTTTTCTTATAAACGTTAAACACCTAATATATGTTACTAAAATATATTAAACTTGTATAAACATTAGACAAAAAATGTTCGGTAGTAGTAAAAAACAACCTAATGTATTCACCTTATAGAGTGGGTAAAGGAATATACAGCTACTTAATAAAGTTCGATAAGTTTTCAGTTCCGAGAGTAAACTGGGACCACTAATCGTGTACGAGGATCAAATACTCGTATCACTCATTATTTCTACTGAAGTTTTCCGTTGTAGTGGTAATAACCCGCTGAGACCTGAGAGCAGATAAGATGACAGGATTTACAAGACGAATACATAGGTCAGAATGTGAATGGTTGATGGTTGAATATAGGTGGGGTGGGCAATAGGTAAAAATCTCCAAAGGGATTTTACAAGTGGAATCTTAGCATTTGGGACGACAATGAAATGACATGGATTACAAAAACTTATGGTAAATCAATTTACGACGACTACGCACAGCTCATTATCATCTATATTGCGTGCTTTCGGGATGTAAACGCATCTGCTTCTAATATTGTTTAGCTATCTTAGAATATGTTGCTTTATCTAGTTTAAACACACTTATTTAGATTGTAAAATTGGCTCCATGGGCAGACAGATTCAAGTCGCGATTGCCCCACTCAGCGGGGGTTACAATAGATTTGATATCATAACATAGTAATTCCGATGATGATTACTACTGAATAATTTAAATCTCTCATCATCATTACTTAACGCAACAGTACGATTAGGGTTTTAGCTTACTTTTTGATTCTGCTCTATTCTACTGTATCTCTGGTAAAAATAATTTTCCATATGAGTATTGAAAGATACCATATTAGACAAAGAACAGAACTAATAAAATCTTACCATATTAAATATTAAAAATTCAAAAATTATTTAGTAATAGAAATAATCCTGTTAGAAACAATCTATTTTTGTGTCTATCTGAAAAGTTTTATAGCTTTCGCTATCAACTATAGTTTATTACTTTCTTACAAAAAAAAACAACAAAAAAAAAAAATAATTCATTTAGCGAAAACACTTTAAAAAGCCGCTTACTAATCGAATTATTTTTGGTTACTATCTGCTCTTCTACTTTTAGTTGATCATGAACTTGAACTTGACAGTAGATTTTTAGTAGCTGCCTCCACAGTATTTCTATCAATGTCATTAAGAATTATAACAGAAATAGTTGAATACATAAGAAGAAATCCAGATATATTGTATCTTATCGATAGGGAATTGAATAATTTTTTGGTAAGCATAGGTTTCTCCTTAACTTATTTTTGCTTAAGTTTTGTTGTTTGTTTTTAATAATTTAATTTAATTAATTGATTAATAAACTTAACAAAAAAATTAACAATTCTATTTTGTATATTTAAATTTTAGTACCAGTTCCCGCAAGCGAGGACCCAGTACTCCACACCGTACAAACAGTTGGCAGACTCTCCAATAAGATCTCGCGTCGCGTCTATAGAAATGTCTCCCGCCAGATCAAGCAAGTGCAAAAAGGAAACATAAACGATTATCTGAGCTCATTGATTGCTGCTCTAAGACTACACCAGTATATCAATTTCATCAACTCATCCATGGGTACAAATAGTGAGCAGTCGTCGTTGAGCGATTCACCGTCAACTACATCGGGGACAAGCAATAGCAAGCAAGGAGCGGCTACTAAGTGAACTTCTCGTTCACCGAAAAGTTTAGCCAAACCAATTGTGTTGCATTCTTTTTAAGTTTATTAATATTAATAATAATAATAATAATAATATTAAATTTCGCATAAATAATAATAATGAAACCACCCACAATTTAAGTTTAAGGAAATTTTTGTTCAAACATCGATTTTTTTATTAAAATTATTTTCTTTGCTCATCTATTTCTGCTTGTATTTCTAAAGCCATAAATTGTATCTTTTAAAAACGTTTTTAGTCTCGTAGTTTAGATACACCATATTATATATTGATATATATGTATATATTAATATATATATGTATTTATATACTATTCTATATATATAATATTTTTATAAAATTTGTTAGTTTAGTGGATCCGCGTCGCGTCGCACATACAAATGTAAATATTTATTAAAATTAATTTTAAAGAAAATTTATTGTCATTGCATTTGCGTATGAGTAAAAAATGGATACGAAATTCTATTTTTAAATTTCACATATATTAATTCTTAAGCTTTTAGTTCTAATATTAGCTGTGCTAAACCTACATTGATATCAGTACATGTACGCAATTTAACAAGAATATAAAATATGAATTTATATTGAATTATGAAATATATGAAATTTATATTAAAACCATAAAATTCTTTTTTTATTTACTTGGTGAAAAATTATCTAATGGCGCACTAGATAAAAGATAAAAGATAATAAATATCTTTATCTTTAGTAATAACAGGTTAAATTATCAAGGAAAATAGTATAGAAGCAATCCGAAACATCTCGAAGTGTGGATTAAAATCGCATAACAAGCTAATGGGAGTATCCTAAATGTATTGGAGTAAAAGAAGGAGTCAGAGAGAGAGAGAGAGAGAGAGAGAGAGAAAGAAATAATTTTTTATTTTGTTGTATAAAGAGAGAATCTGAGAAAAAAATTTCATTAATAAATGAGATATATATAATAATATCTAAAGTTGGGTGTATGATTCCAGATGTATGGATTAGTTTTCCACAATAAACTGCTTCGAATATTTATAAATACACTATAGTGAATATATCAAAGAGAGAGGGAGGGAGAGAGAAGCAATTTTTGTTTATTTTGTACAATATTTAAGGAGTATCCGAGGAAAAATTTTATTAATGGCCGAGATATATATTGTATAAAAGCATACTAGACCTTGGTTTGTACCCGTAAATGTGTGGATTAAATCCTGGATATATGAGAGTATCAGACTTAAAGAAAAAAGAAGATATGAAGTAATTTTTGTTTCATTTATCGTATTTAGAGAGAAAGTAAAGACAAATTTTATAAATGGTGAGATATATAGGTATTATAATTAACTGATTTTGTACTTAATTCGTCCCCTTAGATATGTGTATGAAGTTCTCAATAAAAGAACTTAAGAGAGTAAAAGAACAAGAGAGAGAGAGAGAAAGTAATTTTTGAGTATTGTATAGAATCTCTATGGAAAATATTTACGAAAGAGAAATAGCTGACAATCTAAATCGTGATTTTTACTTCCAGATGTGTGGTTTAAGTCCAAAGATTAAACTGTTGAAATGGATTTAAATATTTCAGAGGGAAGTAAAAGAAAAGCAATTCGTATTTATTTTCTAATCGGAAAAATTGCATATTTTCTGTATTCTAAAGAATGATAACAATGCGGGTATTGTAATTATAAGTGAGGTCTCCCCCAGTCGCAAGGAAGGAAGCCCAACAACAAGAGATAACACGGACTAATTTGTTAGAAGGAATGTAGTTAATGTTGGGATCTCAGATAGAATGCGTGAAAAAAGAATAAAGTTATGAAGAGTGGGTAAAGTTAGTAGGGAGATATTCCATCTCATCTGTGTGAAGTATCAAAATAATGAGAATAAGTTAACTATTGATGACTTATTAAACTGAACGATTGAAATAGGCTTCTTGAGAACCGCTGAACTCTGTTCTTCCTAGTTAGTTTTTTAAATCTTTTAACAGATTTAGTATTGGTAGACTTATTGAAACTAATCTCGATCTAGATGAAAGAATCCTTATTTCCGCTATAGGTAGCGGGGACATATATCAATGTGGCTCAATTTAGAGCTCGTAATGACGCTGTAGTCGAACGAAAAGAGATGAGCGACATTATCAGGCGTGAAAGTGTTGTTCGGACATACATTGGTAATAAACATATTTATGACAAGCAATTGTTAGGTATATCTAGATCTCAATTAGACCAGTATAGTTTTTTTTTACTTATAGGAGACATTATCATTCTCAGACATTTTTAAATGGAAGCCTATTAGAAACTGTTTTGTAATATAACTGTGATCTCGAAGCAGATACTAGTTACTATGTGAAGTTTTCTACCTTTTATAACGAGGGGTAGACTCAATTGATTATATCTCTATTGAGTTCATTTGTTAATGTATTTTTGAAATGAAGAGTTGGATGTATTTAATATGTATATACGACTCTACTAACTGTAAAGCACGAGAGACGAAATCGTTTTAACCTTGTTATGCTCCGTTTCCCTCATTATATTCCCTTTCCCTGGTTAGGCTCCCTTCGGTATCGTTTTAAAGTTTAGTGATAAGTAGATTTTTTATATTATTATCTCTGGAAGATGCGCAAATATAGAACAATTACCAAATTAATATACAATTGGAATCATTTTGTGTAAGGGTCACGGCTAACAGTTTTAATAATCAAACCGTACAGATCTCTAGGTCACAGTCAACGAGATAGCGAATGTTGTTGAGACTATACAATTTTTTTCTTAATTAAAAGTGAAACACCGGCAGTATATGGGCGTGGGTGTAAGAAGATAGATGGAATTAATATGGAAAATCTATTTGACATTTAAGTATAGTTTAAGCCCCGATTTCGTAGTTGTAACTTTGAGTCAGGAAAGTTGATGGCTTAAGCACGGATTCAGTCAGTATTGAGACTCATGTTATGATTGTGAGGTTGGCCTTAAATGTATCTACGTGTAAAATGATGGTTAAAAATTGGTTTTGTGTGTATAAAGATCTGCAAATTGTGAAAGAAATTTATTGGGTTTATTCGGTTTGCTCGTGTTAATTCGCAAGCCGCAGAAGAAACGTTAAGTACAAACATTTTTTTATGAAACTATAAAATTAATTACAAAATTGCAAATCACAAATGTTGAAATTTAATATCAATTAAACGAACAAAAAAAAAAATAATGAAGACTGTAAATTATATACGAAATTACGCAATTTTCTAGTGAAATACGTCGTTGTAAATTATTAGCAAAAAATCCGCAAATTAGTAAATCGAATCGAATATTTTTCAGAGAAAAAAAAATGATAAAAGATAATAGAATATAGAATATTTATGTAATCAGCACGGAAAGTGATAAGAGAATAGGTTTCTGTTTGCTTAGCAATTCTTGAGTGCTTCTGAGACTTGTTCAGAAAACAGTTTTTTTTTGGAATTTTTTGTTCACAAAACAGATATTTTTGGTATTTTTGTGGTGATTTTGTATTTGTTGAAGATTGAAAATGTGGAATATGTTTCGTTTTTGTGTTCTGAGCTTAAATTGATGCAATTAATTAAGTCTCGCCGAGATTGCAGGGTATGCGAACTCGGCTCATGTTAGCAACAAGATATAAATTCAATAAGAAAAAATATTCCACAAAAACAGAAGATGAAGACGGCAATCTTAAACCGCAGAAGAAACAGCAACTGAAATCTGAGCAGGGGACGGCGTTCCCGTCGTCGTCTTAGCGAAACTAAGTTCGTCAAATGCGATAAGAAATTTAATAAAACATAATAAGCAATGAATTATAAATTATTTATACATAAACATACATAAACATACATACTTCTTCAAATATAATAATCTGGTTCCAAAGGTTATCTTCTGAGTAAATGACTTCAGATGAGGCTTGCATGAGGTTGGACCAGATTTTCTGTTTGCACTTAAAAAATAAGATTTCAAAAAAAAAACCACATAATTTTTAAAGTATGCTCGTACTTTCGTCTTCATTGGGTAATTATCCATTTAGGTCAATTTTGTCTGGTCTTTCTTTGGCTTTCAAGTCCCACATTAACAATTTTTTTTGCATTTTGAAACAGAAGTCCGACCTCCATTTATAGTTTCTCGTCGCGATTTTTAGAGAAAAAAACATTGGATTTTTTGTGCCGATTTTTCGTATGTCGTTGTAGTGTATGTGTATACGTCCTTTGAGGATCCTGTTTTTAATTAATTAATATTCAAGACAAGTACTCACTTCGATTTCATGTCCAAAATGAATTTAAACATTTTTGTTTAGCATAAATATTCAACATATTTTAAACAAATTATGTTTCTTTTTGTAGTTGAAGAATTCGAAAACAAAGTTCAAGATATAAAATTGACAATGTGAAAATATTTGCGAAGTCAGAGGCGGTTCTGTAATCAAGGAACGAAAAGTGAAGACGTGTTATTACCATAAGTAAAAAATTTGTAAGTTGCAAGACCACCTCTTTAAGAGTTTCTTTGGTTTCATTAACTTTATGAAACAATTTCATATCATTCGAGATTTTCACGATGACATATTAGGACAACAGGTCAAAATGGATCCCTAGAATCCCTAGAATGATAAACTTGAAAAATGTGTAAAAGTGCTACTTTATGGAAGCGAGAAACATGTTTCTAAGTATAAATTTCATACATTAAGTGAACCAAGCTCTTACATTTACTTAATATAAGTATAAGCTTTATAGATTAAATATGCCAGGTACTTACTGTCAAGAGAATTCTTATTAATTACAAGAACTTCTCTTCTGAGAAGTTCCCGTTACAATAACTTGAGACAACAGATCTAAAAGGATCAGTAAGATTACTATAGTAATCTCATCAAAACTTAAAAAAACGACTTCTTCATTAGACTCGTCATGAAGAGCTTTTGTTTTTTACTAAAGAGATTGCGTTTTATAGGCTAATGGGTTAATAGATCTAAATGAATTCCTATTACCTATATTTTAACAGCCAAAAGTAAAATTTTAAACTATAAAATTGAGAGTGGTGGATTTATGTGAATTTCTTAGCAATATATGAAATACCAGAGATTATGTTTATAATGGATGATTAACTAGGCTAGTAAGAATTATCAATAAATAAGGTTATACATAAAATTCTATATGTATATTTTTTACATTTCTAACGAAAAAAATATTGAAAAATACGATTATAAAGATTCTTAATAAATTTTTTTTCTTAATTTAGCTTCCCTAGAACTGCAGCAGATTGATTTAATAGAAGAATATAAGGTCAAGTGAGGGTTAAAAATATCTTAAAGTCTAAATAAATATTCTTCTTCTTATTTGGCACTATAGTCCAGTGTGAATCTTACTTACTTACTTATTGCTGTCCTTCTCTCCTAAGTGAAGCATAGGGCCTCAGTGTGAATCTAGGCCCCCTTTAAAAAAGGTTGCGTAGCGGGTGTTTTTTCACGATGCGGGGCTGCTGACCTTGCGCTCAATCCGCAACCTGGAGGACCAGATCTCTGCAAATCTGGTAATAAATATAGGAAACATAAATAGTAGTTAGAGCTTACAGAGTGCAGAGGTGAAGAATGTTTCAACTTTAAAAGGGCTGAGAACCCAAATTATAGAATGAAGATACTTATTAATAAAATGAACTGA